TGCCTTGTTTAGACGTGATCGTTGAATACCTGCAAAAACATCAGACAAATACACGGAAATAACCCGAAATCGGATCGAAAACGGTTAGCTTTTAGTCTAATTATGCATAAAAATATCTATATGATTTCGTGTTATCAGAGGCGCTTGTCGAGTTCCTCATTGATCGAAGATATCCATGGCCCATGTCTATGTCTCAAATATGGGATCATTCGAGAAAGATGCTCTGTTGTTGATTTCCCAAGCTATATAGACTATTGAGGTTATTTGGACTCAATATTATTATGTTTCCATATGATGCTAGATCTTGTGGATTCTCGACTTCCCGACCCGCCGTGTGAATATATACATATAAAGCAGAAGTGAATGATATGTAAAGCAGTATGTCGTATAGGAACTATGTAGAGTCGAGTTTACCCATAAGATAGGAAACTCCACTGAGGTTTAGTAATTCCAACCAATCATGTTGTTGCTTTTCAGATATGATGTAGAAGCTTGAGAATTTTCTAGAAGACCTGAAGGTTGAAGGCTTTGGTGTCTGATGAATGTTTTCCTTCTTGTTCTCTATTTAGTTTATTTAGGACATTTGATGTAGTATCTCTTATGTATTATGTAGCTTGATGTAGTATATTTTTTAATGTTATTTTATGTTGTTTTAGTGTCAAACTTTTAATGCTTTACATAATAAGATTCTATATAGTACTATGTGGGGTATTACGACTATAAACCTTATTGCACACCATACTATCCTAGGGTTAAACTATTTAAGAACACTGATGATAATGTTAGACAAAATTAGTATATGAACATCCTTGACGGTCTTAGGTATGTCGTTGATTGTACTAGACATGACATTGCATATGTCGTATGATTGTTGTGTAAGTTTACAAGAGACTGAGTAGTGAGAATTGGCATGTTATATCTTAAAATGACCATGAATCTTGGAAATCAAAGAAATAAATTATCTTGACTTAGTCCACAATGAAGTCTGAAATAATAGTATTATGAACTGTTAGTAAAGAAGTAAGTTGATTAAGATTCTTGCTAATTGTGATCCCTATTTAAGAAAAACCCATGTCAACTGGGATGATCTGCTGCGATAGTACTCAGACCATTAAAAAAATTACGAACCATTATTATAATGGTAAGAGTCGTCAAATAAGGAGCTTTATCTCTAAATAAGTTGTAAGAGTATATCATATACGCAATGATGAAAATTTAGCAGATCCTTTGACAAAATGATTAGTCAGAGAGAAAATCCATAATACATCTAAGAAGATGGAACTAGTACCTATAGATAAGTGAGTTACTCGTGATGGTAACCCATCCTAAAAGACTGAAGATCCCAGTAATTAAGTTCAATGGATAATAATTATGAGATGATCATGCTAGTATGAATAAATAAAAGCATGAGTTTTGAAGCGATAAGAGGATGAGATAATAGAAAATATTAATGAGACATATGATCTATATGAGAGGAGTATCTAACAACATGAATACTCTTGATATATTGACTTATGTGATTGTGGAACTTATGTCGATTCCTATGGAATTTCGAGGCAGAACTCCTAGAATATTCACTAAACTAGGATGGACGTGTGAGGTTATTAAAACCCAGTATTTTAGAATATGTCCTAAGAAAAGGTTGTGTGCGAGTTTAATGTCTAGGATATAGTTTAATACAATTGAGTCACTCTTGTTAAATCAGAATTCTACTTGTTATGCAAAGATTCAAGTCGTAGACATTTGTGTTTATGCACAAATTTAAAAATGTTCGGCGTTATTTGAAAACACTTTTTAAATTCATGTGGAGGATTGTTGGAACATATCAATATTTCAATATGGGGATGAATTTGAAAAATGCTTTAAATCCACGTTGTTGGAAAACTTTGTGTGTTTGTGTGGTTAATTAGAAAAAATTTAAAATACATCCTAAGAAAAAGTTGTGTGTGAGTTTAATGTTTGAGATATAGTTTTATACAATTGAGTCACTCTTGTTGAGTCGAAATTCTATTTGTTATGCAAAGGTTCAAGTTGTAGACACATGTGTTTATGCATAATCTTAAAAATGTTTGACGTTACTTTTGAAACACTTTTTAAATTCAAGTGGTGGATTGTTTGAACATGTCAATATTTTAATATGAGAATAAATTTGAAAAAAAAATTCTTAAATCTCATATTGTTAAAAAAAAACTTTTTGTGTTTGTGTATAAATTGAGAAAATTTTATGTCCCACATTTCTTAACTAACACACTATAGTTAATTTCTAGTATTATCTTAGAGAAATAGAATTTCTAAGTCTCGTACTGTTTGGATTACATTTCTTAGTCTCACATTGCATTCTTGAATTGTTGAAACGCCAATTTCTTCTTTTTTTCTTTCTACTCGTTAAATTTTTAGAGTATTTTCTTGACTTCTCTTTGAAGAATAATTTAAAATTCTCCTCGTTTGAGAAATCATTTAAAATGGTCAATGGTTATTATTAAATTCTCTTTGAAAAATTATGAGTTTCTTCTTGTTTGAGAAACAATTTGGAGTGGTCAAATAACTGATTATCTACCGTGTAAGTAGTAATCGTACAATATAGAATTGAGTTGTTTTATCCAAGAGGCGTTCTGATTGATTGTCTGCCTTGCACAATTTTGAACAAAATCACAAAACATCTCAAAAGAAACGACCTACTTCGTGACTCAACCTGATAATTTCTGTAATGGCGATTTCATTTTCAAAATTATAAAACAACAATCCTGAACTTTATAAATTATTCATTTGTAAACTTTTCTAAACAACATGTATTGACCCTTGTTTTCTTAGTATTTTTTTCCATGATCATTTTTAGCAATGGGAGGAGAATCTAATATTACCAAATCATCATCATTCATAATTGCATTACAAAGACATAAAATTCAAACCTATTGGATTAAATAAACTAAAAATAATACAGTATATCATTACATATTTAGAAAAAATTCACACCTAAACTTTGTAGAAAACTTTTAAATGAGATTAAATGCACCCAAACTCCACTCCGAGAGTATAGTGCTTGTAAAGGTATATCAGAATAAGTTTCTGATATCAACTATAGTCCAATCAATTTTGAAGTCTTGGTGAACTCATAACTTTTATCCTTGATTCTTATACTGAAAGACCCCTTATTATAAGTCAAAACAACTTCAACCCAAAATATACATTGCAATATTTGATGGACTAGATTTTACTTCACCATTGGAATCTATTGCATATGGATAGCATGAGTATTATAAATTCGAAAAATACTGAGTTCGATTTCTATTTATAAAAAAAAAGTTTAAATATACAACACTCTCTGTAATGTGGGCGAGTTCATTTTGCCTCCTGTAATATTTTTGTTATTTTACTCTCTATGCGTACAATTTGAACACTAAGCAAAATATTATAGAAGGTAACTTTGACGCTTAGAGAAAAAAAGACATAAAATTTTAATATTTCAATAAAGATTCAAAAAAGGCAAATCGAAACTCGTTAGAGGAAATGTTATATATTTAGCCTAAAAATAAATAAAGTAGATTGCACTCGAGAAGGATTGTGTTTGGCTTCATTTGAATGAGGGACAGTTGAAATACAGTTTGATTGGTCCATTAAATGTGTTTCTGTCTAGGCGTATGGTGAAGACTGAGGCATACCACCATAATGCAAAATAGACAGACCAGCTGTTAGTACTATTAGATTACCATTATCATTATCATTATCATTAATAGTTAGTTAGTATAATGACATTGTTTTCAGTTCCTTTTGTCTCTTAATTCTATCTTACAAACATGTTTCATTATTAATATGCATGAGATTAGGTTGTAAACATCAAGTAGATATGGCCCTACAAATTTAATTAAATCTTGTCTAGCTAAGACATCAAGATCTTGGTTATAATTAAATCTTTCTTTTAAAATGATGTGAAATCATATCTTAGTTGAGTCACACTACACAATTACACTGAAATGTTATTGCTTCATCTAAGACATTCAGACACTCGGGATCTTCGATATTTTTATAAGTTATAAATTATTATTAATTCATGTTGCAACACTGTACAGACCGAAATCATAAAAGCTTTTACGTGACTGCAACAGGACTGACTCTGACCGTTACCTAGTATGTACTAGAATGCAATGCATAGTATAGTATGTAGTGATGGATGACATAAGGAGGGTCCTATAAAACTATTTATTTATACTTGAGAGTTTGTGTTGTGGGTTCCTCCTTTTAGAACATGGCTTACCTCACCACACCAACATGTTTGATCCCTCCCAATAGAGAAAGTCAATTTCTCCAACTGCAAGTGGGTCAAAGTAGAAATCACTAATACTATATCACCACAATTACCATTACTTTGAGTACATAAGTTGGTTGGTGGACCAATTCTTCATATATAGGAATTAAAAACACAAGGACAGTCACTAACTAGGTAGCAATAGCATTCAATTTTCTAAGCACTAGTATGGTCCACTGTCACCTAAAATGTCAGACATAGATAACCACATCTAAACACAGTCCTAGGTTGACAATAACTTCACTCTCAATAGTTTCTAAAACCCATCTCAACCAATAATGTCGATATTGTTAGACCGAACACTTTTATCAGAGTCTCGACCCGAGTCCTTGCACATGTGTGTCGATATTATTAGACCGAATACTTTTACCAGCCGAGTCCTAGTATGTGTGTGTCGATATTGTTAGACTGAATACTTTTATCAAACTCTGAACCCGAGTCACCGTACGCGTGTGTGAGTTTCTGGTGTCTACGGAAATAAAAACAGTCGATCAAATTTTCCTTTCTAGTTAATTGAGATAGTTTCAAATTATCCAACTAAAGAAATTCCATAACCTCCAACGTGTACAAAGCAAAGTTGAATTGTGAGGTTTCAACTTCTAATTAACTTGCAAATTAATCAATTATAGCAAAGACAAATTAATAAACAGAAAAAATTAAGACACAATATTCGATATAAGATATATATTAAAAGCACTTAGAGTTTGAGGGACAAATCAAGCTTCTGCAACTCATCTTGTTTAGTCTTCAAACGTGTATCAGTAGCAGTAGCACTGTTGCCAAACCAGTATCCTCCAAATCCATCTTGAACTTCTCTTTGAGAAAAGGATGATCCATCAGTTTCTGATGCAAGATTTCCAATTACTGCTTGTGAATACACAGGCAGCTTCTGCCACTGGTTTTGAACACGAGAACGAGACAAACCGAAAAACGGTGCTTGATAAGAAGGTTTGTGAATCATAGAAGAATGCACCTGAATTCCAAGTGGTAATGATGATGATGATGATCTGTTATATGAGCCATGCAAAGGTAGAGAAGCCAAACTTGAGTACCTGTGTTCAAAATCTAGCGAAACTGAACTTCTGTATCCTCTTTTCGCCATAGTTCTTTCTCTTTTGTGTGCATTTTGGTGTCCACCAAGTGCCTGTGAGCTATAAAACTTTCTTTGACAGTAGTTGCATGAGAAAATCCTTGGCTCTAATTCATTACCATGATTAGATTCTGTGGACGAGTTCATCGAATTCGACGCATCCGTATCAAAACAGTTTATGAGATTGAGTTCTTGCTTCGATGACTCGTGATCACCCGAATGATCTTTGCTAGGAAGACTTAAATCAAGAAGGAGATGTTTTTTCTCTTCATTTTCTGTCTGTCTCTTGTCAGAAAATGAGAGATTCAAATTATGAGATGAACATGGTTCTAATCTTAGAAGGTCCATATAGGAGAAGAATATGCTAAGATTTTGTTCCTATATAGGAAGAAGAAGTTTATGAATGATGTAATGTTGCAATAAATTCTGAGTGTTATATATATGTTTAGAAATTGTTGTCACTATTTTAGTTACAGGGTCCTAATATAGCAAGACCTAATAATCAAAAGACATTGGTTTTTGTGTTGGGAGAGAGATAGAGAGAGCTCACTTTAATGTAAACTTTCAAGAATGAAACAAACCTAAGTTATAGATTCATGTTTAATCATGATAAAGTTCCTATTCAAATTTGGAATATATCATAGTTGAGATGCTATTACAATCTAAAGTAGGTCATTAAAGGATTGAATGAGTCAGTAACTCGCTTTAGACGATAAATTGATTAAAGGACGAATCATTTTAAAATGAGTCGGTAACTCGCTTTAGATGATAAACTATTTAAGGGACGAATCGCTCTAAAATGAGTCAGTAATTCACTTTAGACGATAAACAGAACAATATTATTCGTAAACAGATAAATGAATAGCTGATAGTATTATATGTACATGAATAGTAAATTACTAATGGTTAAATCATATTATAAGGGCTAATTTCCAACCTTGTAAATAAGTGTGGGACCATTGTTGTTTTCTATTATTTTCTTTTACTAAAAATATTTATATTGAATGATAGTGAATTACTTTAATAATTGAAGCCTATTCTAGGAATTTCAGAAGACAGTTTCATGTCTTATCTTTCAAGTAGAAAAAGCATGAAATGAAAATTTCCAATCTAGAGACAACCAATCCTAACTTTCACCTTAAAAGATCACAATCCATAATTTCATGTCTTCAATATTATATCACCATCATGCTTCTTTTGCCCCACACCACATGCTGCATCATTCATCAAGCAAATTAATTTCCAAAACACTCAAACCTATATTTCATTTTCTCTCAAGTGGAATTATATTGTTTCTCTTTCAAGTGGAATTACTATTTAATCATAAAGAATATGTTAGCTAGATTAGGTAACAAAAGTTGAATATGAAATTTAAAATATTAGTTAAGTTTCCACTAAGCTAAACTATTCTTAGCTTTGTCTCCTAAACACATCTTCATTAGTGTAGGCATAAATTAGGCAATAGTCATTCTTGAAATAAAAGTATTTTGCTCTAATCAATATTAGTCATTATACTTTTTATAAACTCGATGTCTCCCGCACACAATTGCAGAGACTAACTTTTGAGTCAATGAAGACTATTGTTGGTGAAAAAAATTCTCCTTCAAAATATTTAATATTGCTACAATCTGATTGAATTGAATCTAAAACATCTAGTTAAACCGAAAGAAATTTGTATCTTCTCATCCAAAAACTATTAAATTCCGATCATAGATTTAAGACTGAACACTCGAATGATACCATCAATAAATTAATTTAAACAATTTTGACTAGAACAGATATAGACGGTCGAGATAATAAATGTGCGGTGCACTTACAACCAGAAATCTATATCAAGTATTATAGTTTTCTAATAAGTTCCAAAGATATTTACTAATGATCTAGTAATACAATTTAGAGAAAATAAGGTCCCCTCCCTTGCTTTAACCTTTCACTTTCCCTCAACCAATACAAAATGTTGGACACAAGCGACTAAGGCCTAAGGACTTGCATTGAAAACCACATACTGTGGTACCTAGCAAGAAATTCTCTGACATTGATGGACAAGTAATAACTTTTTGAAATTGATTATTCCTCCTAGCTCGTGTTCAAGTTGGTTTGGGTTCAAAATCCTTGACAAAAAATTAAGGATAAGGACAAGAAAAGGATATGTCTATGTCTGCCTCAGATAGGAAAAGCATTAGAAAAATACAATACATTATTATGGACAACCCACCATAACTTTTCTTACATACAGAATCTATTAGTATGGTTCATAGTATATAATAAATTGCATCTGTTCAATGAATTAGAAAAAAGTCAAAATGTTCATACTTTCAATCCAATTTATGATAGGTTCCGCAGTGAACTTGTTTAAGGACACCAGAAAAATGAAACTTGAAAGCTAACAGATCCAATTAACTAGACAAATTGGTGGGTGATGATTTTAAGTTATTCAAACTATTAACTATAGACACCTAACATGAATCTTTATGTGCATAATCTATGCTAAGCCAACTGAATACAGTGTATCAGATAAATAAAGTTTTCCACTCAATTTCCTGCGCTTATTTAGCCACAATTGCCCCATGATTCTTTAATTTCATACCTTTACTTTAAAGAAAAAGTGATTACTGTCATTTCTTTTCTCAAGTACTTTGGAACTGTAATCCTTTTAGTTCTGCCTAAATAATATTCAGTATATTTGGCAGGAAAGTGTAGTTTGTGTGCAATTGAACTTCTCCTGTCTCATTTTTGTATACTTCTCTTTATATTTGATTTTATATTTTTATTACAATTTGTCCAACAAATTTGTAAGGAAGATTTTGTTAACTTCTGTCTGCTAAATTCGCTTAACGTGTAGAACATGCGTACCTATAATCGCAAGTTGCTGATTCTCAGAAAGTGGTCTTCAAATCCTACATTTTGACCTCAGTTTTTTTGGGTAGAAGTAACCATCATGAGCTATTCCAGCATTTTTTGAACGCATAACCTTATCCAAACAAGTTTGGAAAAAAAAATTTACACATGTTTAATTCATCTTATGCCTGTATTCGTACGCTATGATATCCGAACTATGTATTGAAACACGTATAATTTTATACATTGATGTCAAAAAATTAGATTTCGCAACTTCATCTTTGCTAGGTTTTGCTTCAAATGAAGGGACGCCAGCAATCAAATAATACATTACCCCACCCATAACAAACAAGAAGTATACAATAGATTAAACTCAAGCTACAAACACAAAAAACATCATCTTTACTTGGTTAGCCAGTAGATGAAAATAAGAAAAATGCATACAGACCCAACTAGGGAAAGTATTATGGTATCCATTGACTTTTTTCGCTTTATTGCTGACAGAATAGTATTTACCTGCAACGTTGTTAAAATATCTCATTAAACAACAACATTAATATTCAACCTTATTCAATATTTACTTAAACGTCAATAACATTCGTACCGTTGGGAGGCGACTGCTCACGTTGCTGAGCTTTGAATTGATGCCACCAAAAGTCGAACGCTGGAAGACTAGAGCACCGAGTGTTGCCTGTGCTTGTGAAATAACAGAGTCCATCTACAGTACAAGAACGAGCGCAACAGATTAAAACAGGACAGCCATAGCTGTGGATCAGCCATCGTAGATAGAACTTAAATAAAAATGAAAATTAAATGAACATTTGGAAATTTAGTCCATTAACTTGGAAAATATCCCAGGTTAAAAATGGCATTGGAATGACACATATGAAATCTATATAAAACCTATACATAGTTATATGGGCAGAGCATAATATCCCGAAATGCGGGTACATGATAAGTCCTCTGGTGGACGGATCTTGCTACAATAACAAAACTTTATAACACAAAAAGGTTTCATGTCAACAACCTGTCCTGTACTTCGGCTGATAGATGCACGCTCTTTAAGGAGGGTTTGCTGTTCAGAACCTCCACCCTCTTCCAAATCTAATCTTGTTCGATCAAACTCTTTAAAGTCATCAAGTAGTGAAGCATGTTCTTGCTTAGCTCTAAGACTAGACCGCAGACGATAAAACTCCTGCATTTCAAATTAGTTACTATAACAACAAGTTGGTGTCTGGCAGATTTAAGCTTACGATAAAATATAAAAATCTGAAGGAAATAATGAATCAATAAGTTAAATGCTGAGCAATAAATAGCTAACTATGCCGTCGGACAATATAATATTGGATTAGGTTTAGGAATCATATCATTAGAAAAAATTAAGGGTAGCTTTGATTGTAGAAAAAATCATAGAATCAAATCATAGGTGATTTGAGCATATGTGGATAATACTCATAAAAGCTCTGGTAATGAGGATAGATCCAACGGAGGACATTAGTTAAAGGTAGTGAAAGACCATGAAAATCTATATGTTGGATCATTAAGAAAGATTTGGAGTTAAATGGTTTATCTTTAGATATGGTTCATAACGGTTACAGGATATTATGGTGTCATTTGATCCATGTGGCAAACTCAATTAAAGGCTGAAATATATTCATAAAGATATATACTCATATCAAAGGTTTGAGCTTCTCACAAGAAATAAAGCTGATGACATTTAGTCCTGTTTGTCATACTCTTGTCTGTAAAAAAGAGCTATCTTTTGAAAACAAAGTTCAAGTATAAATTTATTAGCAGAATTTGTAATGATATTTAATGAGTTAAAGGGATGTGCACTTAGTGTAAAGTTACTTTACACTGTCGCCCAATCAAATTTAATGATTTTGCCATGTCAGTAAGTATATAATTTCTAGAATAACATCATTGCATTAATTAAATAAATTCCCAAATCCCTGAATTTTGATTCCATTACCCTTTCCCCTTCTCTGCATACCCCGCTCATATTTCACATCTCTTCTCCTCAGCCTGCCTGATACATCAATAAGACAGAGTCGGAATGTAGAACTTGTATGGCCGTTTACGTTACTGTCAATCAGGGTTGTTGAGCTAAAGTGATGATGATGAGATCCAATACTTTCCAAAAACACCAGAACATCCACTCACCCACTAATCAACTCTTGAAAAATTGTTTGAACAATTGGTTAAATAAAACCCATACGAAATTGTTGATTAAAACGGGGCATGGAGATTAACTAATGAGAATAAAATAGAAGAAAAGTTGTACTTTGCGGTGAGCCGGCGATTGGTGATGTATGCTACTAAAGATGTGGGGTGGGAAATATGGGGGAGAAGCATGATCATCATTGCAGTAAAATAACAAAAAAAAAAAAAAACTACATGATAGTAATATGCTAAAAAAAATTAAAGGGATAGTAGGTAAGGCTCATGTGATACAATACCTGGGAGAGATCTTGATAAATTTCTTGGTGTCTGGTAAGAGTATGAGATACCATTTCTGAGCCGCCAGAGGACACCCAAGCTTGCATCTGTGAGTTTACTTGTTTGAGTTGGTTAAGTAATCGGTCAATCCAAGACTCGAGATCACCCTCAGTTGCATCAGCTTTTGTAGAAACCAACTTACGATATAAAACCATTTGCTCATCCAACTGAGCTTCAATTTTTCTTGCCTGTAAAAGATTAAAAAAAAGAACAACAAGATCTGCTGTCAATAATTTGCCTAGAAAACAAAATAATGTATAACTAGTAATCCAAGAAAACAATAATTTTCCTAGAAACCATTCAGTGCATTGAATACACATATTTTTAGAAAAAAACTTGTCCTTTTATTCTCTTAAAGAATGTTCAACTTACCTTTTTAATCTCTTAAAGAGTGCCCTTGGGACACTCGTTAGCATTTCCCTAAAATGATAACTTGAAACTATGATGATTAATCATGATTTGCACACACAAAAAAAAGCATGTTATCCTGGTTTGATTAATGAAAAGTGATTGAACATGTGCTTAAGCCTTAATTACAACCAGAACAAACCAGCATGCCTGAAATTCCGTAAAGTTAAAGTCAGCTTTTTATCTGTATTATGACAAATTACAGTTATTTGATCTTTTCAAATGAGTTACCTATAATATCAAGAAGCGTGATCATTAAGCTTTGTGCATAAAATGACAACACTAACCAATAATGCCCAGCTTGATTATTTAACCTCTAAAGCTTATTGCAAATTATCTTAAATATCTATTTAATAAATATTCACCAGAAAAGCATATATAAAAAATAAGAAGTGAAGTATGCATTAATCTCGCTTAGTTAGAGCTCATATGGTGATCAAATATATACCAAGCATAAATGCGAGAAATAGAACATCAACTTCATTATTACATTTCATATTTAACTTCTGATAGCTTCTTACTCCTAAAATCACAAAATGAACATTGGTCCTACGCCCTAGGGAAAGACTTAACAAGAAACACATGATACTATATAGTACACCATAGACATATATACTAATGGAAACAAAAGAAATCAATAAACTTTAACATTTTCAATCACTCTTTATCCCGGATAAAAGTATAATATACATTTAGAAATCAAACTCATCTATCATTCTCACTGAATGCATATATGTAGAAATCAAGCACATGATTTGTGAAGTCACACACCAATAATGAATCCTTTCATGTTAACTAAGAAGAATGAAGACAAATATTTATCTGTTTGTACCGCGCCTAAAACAGCAGAATATTCATTCTATGTTATGTAAGATCACCCAAATGAAGGACTGAAAATTATCCAAAGCAGCCACCGCAGAACCATTGGCTACAGAGGAAAGCATTTCAAATCTAGAAACTTAATTCCCTAAGCAAATTAAACCAAAGATCAGAACTCATTTCCCCTATGAATCAGTAATTGATCCCTAAATAAACCAAGTGAATCTATTGCAATTCCAATTCGTTACTCAAAATTCAAAACTAACATCTCAGTATATAAAACCAGTAATTCTCAAACCCTAAATTATAAAAACAGGATAGAAAACGAATCACCGACAACGAAAAAGGAAATCTTCTGATAAGAGACCTCTGAATTACACATAGACATGTGATATAATTGAATTTCACATAAGAAAAAGTGAAGAATTGGAACCTGTTTGCGAAGGGAATCCCAAGAACTATGAACCTCCATGGATGAAGAAAAAGAAAAGAAAGATCAAAATTGGCGTGGGAATGAGATGAATTTGTTTACTCGATCAAGATACGACGCCGTCTGCTCCCACGCCACAGACGACGATGACACCGATTCTTCAATTTTTATTTCTTTGACTATTTATTTTTCATATAAAAACAAGAAACAAAATTGGGTTGCTTTGTTCGTAATCCACACTTTCAGATCTTACTAGTAATGTCTAATTTCTTTTCTCACGATCGGAAAATTGATTATGAATTAAAAAAATATTGATTGATATTATCAAATATTTTATAGGAATAGTTTATTAAAAAAATAGTATCAATTTTTCATTTGCGGTGATTATCAAATTCACTAAAATCTATATCTTACTATGGTATAGATAGATACGTTTATAATTATTATTTTGAAATACTATTTTACAAATAAATTACTTATTATGTGATTATGAATAAAGGAAGAATTTTTTTTATAATAACTACAAAGCAGACTGTCGTCGGATAAAATGGTGACAGTGTTGTAGCTTGCAAGCACTCGTCATTTACATTGGCGGCTCTGAAGAAAAACAAACAATATCGTCGGACCAAATGGCGACTTAGTTGTGTGTCTAGGGTTTTCGTTTTTTAGCTTTTGAATGAATTTTTATTTAATAATTAAAATTTTATTATGATTAATTCTTAAATTAATTTTAATAAATTTAAGTTTAATTAAAAATAACATTAAATTTATAAAATAAATTTAGCCTTAATAAAACTTAAATTGTGTTTTTTGTATTTTTAATTAATGTTGTAATTTTTAATTTTAATTATTTTTTTATAATTTATGTAAATATTTTAATAAATGATTTAAAGATTAAGTTTGTGTAAATATTTGAATGATAATTGTTATTAAATTTATAAAATTTTTAATAAATCTTTTAATTAGGTATTAATAAATATTTGTTATTAAATTATGTTGTTTGTTTTTCATAATTAATTGAAATTTAAATAACTTTAAGAAAATATTAAAATACAGAAATGTTTAAAAAAATAGAAATAATAAAATATATTAATCTACAATCTAATGAAAATTACAATTACAATTGAATTAAAAAAAAACTAATGGTCGGCTCTATCCAAGTGACCACCGGCATTGCGGGGGATGCGCGTTGCGACGAGGTCTACGACGAGGTTGTTGTGGTGTGTCTGGTCTTTGTGTGTTGAATTGTGGAGGAGGGTATGGTTGGGACGGCCCCGGCGTATCAGATAGATTTTGCAGCATTTGACCCCAATAGTTGGGAGGTCCATTATCAACAGCGCTTCCGTAGTTTAGCTCAATGTCCATGTTTTCGTAGGATGGTCTGGGAGGTTGGGTGGAGTATGGATGATATGGTTGGCCGAATTGGTACATCAAGTTGGATTGGAAATGGTGTGTTGGTTGTTGTGGGGTGTGGTAGTCAAACAGTGGATTGTTTGGGGGTAGGGTCAAATGAGTTGTATGGGCTATAGGCGGAGGGTGTAGGGTCAAATGAGTTGTCAGGGCTATAATGGTATGGTGGTTGAGGCTGGGACTGGGTGGGTGGCATGTACGGGTCATGGTATGGTGGTTGAGGCTGAGACTGGGTGGGTGGCATGTACGGGTCATGGTATGGTGGTTGAGGTTGGGACTGGGTGGGTGGCATGTACGGGTCATGGTATGGTGGTTGATGGGGGTCATGGTAAAGCTGGTATGGGTTATTGTAAGGCTGATTTTGGGCACTGGATTGTTGTTGTGTGTTGGACGAAGAAGGCGTTGCCTTGGGTCAACCAAATAGGTTGGCTTGGACAGAAATGACTGAGATGTCGTGACAGACCTAAACCCAGTGTTTTTTGGTGGCCATGTTGAATGTAAATTTTTCCCGTTAAAGGTGTGAGATGATGAAGATGTGCGTAACATGTTCCGGAGTCACGAGTATTCTGGTTTCTCAGATATTGTGTTATATGTTACGTTACAACAACAACAACTGTCTCAGCAACTTGATTCTTCTCAAGTTTTTTGTGATTCTGACGATGAACACGCTGAAGTCAATGTTGTTGACGAAGAAGAATAAGCAACTGAAGTCACTGTTAACGATATGGTGAACAACCAGGAGGACGGGGTTCCACCCGACAATGTTTATTGTCCACCTCAACACATGACAACTCTCGACTTGGGTGACGATGAACCCTCGACGGATGTTTTCTACAACCCCAACTACACAACAGAAGGGGAACTAAAAGAGGGTGACGAGTTTCGTACCAAAGAAGATTGTGTTCGGGCAATCAAACAGTTTCACATGGAGTTGCCAGCCGATTATAGAGTTGATCGGACAAATCCGACGCGGTATACGATCTATTATCGTAACGAGGAGTGCCCGTTCTGATTAACAGTGTCTTTTAGGAAGAGAAGCGATTCCTGGAAGATAGGGTCAATGGGTCTGTCCCGCAGTTGTATAATCTCGAATCGATGCAAGACCATTGCAAACTCAGCTCTCGATTGATTTGCGATGAGATACTGTCAGTCGTTAGCGACAATCCGTCTTTGAAGGTGAGTACCATAATTGCACATATGGTTCAAAGGTACAATTACACTCCTTCGTACCGAAAAGCCTGGATTGTCAGAACTAAAGCGGTTGAAAGGGTGTTTGGGAATTAGGAGGAGTCGTACAAGGAACTTCCAAAATTCCTGGTGGCTCTTAAACACTACTCTCCGGGAACTATTGCGATATTGGAGACAATGCCTGCGTGTACACCAGACGGGACTTGCGTTGGTGGAAATGGAATTTTTCACAAACTCTTTTGGGCATTTGAACCATGCATCAAAGGGTTTGCATATTGTAAACCTATAATTCAAATTGACGGAACATGGTTATACGGGAAATATAAGGGCACACTTCTCATGGTTGTGGCACAGGACGGGAACAACAACATTTTTCCAATAGCCTTCGCTATAGTAGAAGGGGAGACTGCTGGGGGTTGGAGTTTTTTCTTAAAAAATCTCCGCTCTTACGTGTCTCCCCAACCTGACTTATGTTTGATCTCTGATCGACACCCATCAATCGAGAGTGCATACAATAACCATGACAACGGTTGGCAGGATCCTCCCTCGCCATTTGGTCTGACGATGTCGTTTGTTTTTCTTCAAAGTCGTCAATGCAAATGGCGAGTGCTTGCAAGCTACAACACTGTCGCCATTTCATCCGGCGATAGTCTGTTGAATACTTAGCCACTTTCATTAATATTCTGAATATTTTGTTTTTTGGTAAAAAGTAACTAATACTTAGTTACTATAAAAAAAATCACAAAGGAAAAGGGACAAATTTTGTTATAATCAATTTATGAATTAACAAAACAGAAAGTGTTTGTTGAATCACATCAAACTTTTGTGTTTTTAAAATCCTAATTTTATAAATAAACAGAAATTATAATTTATAGTTTATGATATTAATAAGTAAATATCTGTATAACCGCTATATCATTTAAAATATCCAAAAAATCACAATAAAAAAAAATTCTTAAATAGTCAGTTTTTTTAAAAAAATAAATTACTTAAATAACTACCTTTTGTAAAATATATACCAAATTAATTTATATTTTTGAAAATCACCAAATATTTTTTAAAAAAATTCAAAATAATCATATGTTAAATAAAAAATTAAAGTAGTCATGTTTTAAGAAAAAAAAGTTTGCTCCAAAGAAGAGGCGCTATAAATAGTGGTACATACATTTTTATTTTGGCCTAAGACGTCATAGGCTATGGCGCATGCACTTGGGAGTAGTCAATGGGTGTGGCGTTTGCATTCAACTTTTAGGTGCATGCGCCATTTTCTGTGGCTCCAATGTTGTTTTTGTTTTTTATATATAGTTCATTCCTTCTCCACCATTTTTCCTCAAAATGTCGTGTTATATTATCAAGAGAAATGTCAATTTAATTTATTCATCAGTAAAGCCTCTGTTGAAGATCTGACTCTAGAACACAGAGACTTTCGAGCATCTTCAGATGAGCTTGATCTATTGGTGGAGACGTTGCAGACGGTGAAAAGATCAGAAGAATTCAAATGCGTGTTACGGTGTACAACAACAATGGAGAAAGTCATATATGGGAATCAATTAAAATTGACAGTGATTTTCGTATTATGATGCATAGTTCAGAGGAAATTGTCCTGATGGTTTTAATCTCATAGATATGATTTTTAGTCATTGTATTTGTTTGTTTTGTTGTTTAGTTGTTGTTTAAATTGTTGTAATTGAATGTTGTGATCTTTATGAAATGAACGTTGTTTTAAATATCAACTAAAATGGTTATGTAAAATGAATTACATATAAAATGCAGAACTAAAAGTGGATTATTGAATTATTTTGTGGAGCTTGGTCCAACATTGGGATAATTTATACGATTGTGTTCAGGTTGACGACATGAACTACATAATCTCACCATTTTGTTAGTCGTATCCATTTTGGTTCGAATACGCGTGTTGTTCGAGCGACCTTTTTTTCTTTTTTCTCATACTTTCATTGTGCCAAACTATGTCCCCTTGATATGCAAGTCAATAATCCTCATTTGTTACCACCGAAAAACTATTGTTATACACATTGCATAAGTTTATAACTTTTAAACAACTAATAGTAAGTTAGAAGAGTTTTGTCGAGTCTTTGAACATGACAATATGAAATGGGAGCAAGGCATGCGGAAGACTTTGAACTTTTCGCAATCGCCTCAACCTTTATCTAGTTGACTCGATAGTATCCCCTTGGCTTCCCCTCATTGTGGTTCTTTGCCTCATCTACGCTGAAGAAACGTTTATGTTAGTCAAACATTGTGACCACGTGTGTGTTAACTTTGGCATTTTCCTCCTTAATGAATTTCATTGATGTTTCATTGAACAACTGCCTCGATTGTAACGCTAAACTCCGTTTTGAATGCCTGACCTCAAATAGTGACCCTAGCCTAAAATAGGTTGCTCTCACCAAAGTGGTTATCGGTAGGTTTCTGATGCCTTTTGA